CTGCGCCGGGCGGCAGGCGGCAGGCGGCGGTCGGCTGAGGGGAGCCAACGTCGGGGCACAGCGCCTGGACAGGGCCACGCTCGGCCCCAGGATGGTGTGCAGACTGCCCCCTGCTGCTGTTCCTCCTCCTGCTGCTCCTCCCGCATCTCCGTTTCCTGCGGCTGACCCTCCTCCTCCTCCTCCTCCTCCTCCTCCTCCTCCTCCTCCTCCTCCCTCCTCCCTCCTCCCTCCTCCCTCCTCCCTCCTCCCTCCTCCCTCCTCCCTCCTCCTTCCGTAGCCATGTTGGCTCAAGCCCTTTGGGCTCAAGCCACGCGCGCCGGCCGCCGCCCGCGCATCGGGCGTGCGGGCCCCGCCGCGCCGCCGCTCGCACTGCCCGCGGCGGGCCTGCTCCTGGCGCGTGGCTACCTGATGATGTCCTGCCCCATGCTGTGCCGCCCATCTGGCGTGGCCTCCGCTGCGGGCAGACGTCGCCTCCGGACGCGCAGGGTCGCCATCCGGCATGCGCAAGTGCAGGCGATGGACGTGCGCAACCTGATGGGGTGTGGTCCCCCCCAGGCCTCGTCGTGTCGCCCGTGGACATCCTGCTGCAGGAGCTCGTGGCGCACGTGGAGGCGCCGGAGGCTGTGGGTGTACGGGTGCCGCCGCTGCCGCCTGCCAGCCCTGCGCCAGGTCTGGCTGGCTTGGGCGCCGAGGCGATGGCACCAGCTGCGCCGTGGTGGTCGCCGAGGCTGGTTGGTTTGCGCTCGCGATCCAGCCCCTTAGTTGTTTCTTTGGCGGCGCGGTCGCAAGCCGCTGCCACTGCCGGCCCCCTGGTGACAACGTGCCTGGTGACAACAGACCGCGCTGCTTGGCCGAGGCGCCGCGCCGGTGGTTCGCGACAGGCCGGGGCCGGGCGCTTAGCAGTGGCTGAGCGCGAGGCTAATGCGGCACGCCTGACCGCAGAGGAGCGCCAGGCTGCAGCCGCTGGTGTTGCTCGCACTCGTGCTCTCCCTCGTGCCGTCCCTGCCGTATGTGTTCCTGCTAGTGATGATGCAGAGCATGCTCTGCCTCGTGCCCGCCTTGATGCACATCCAGCCAGTGCTGGTCCTCCCGAGGCGCTGCTGGCTGACCTGATCACTGGCGTGGAGTTGCAGAGCGAGCACCACGGTAGTGCCGACGACCACGCCAGCGGCGACTCCGACTCCTCCTTGCGCCGCGGCCGCAGTGGAGCTCGGCATGACTGCTGAGCAGCGGCGGCCCCAGCATCCTCCTGAGGCTGCTCAGCCTACGTCTGCTCTCCTTCGGCCGATGGCGATGTAGAGGGTGCAGATGCGGACTCGCCCCGCGCCGGAGGACCTTCCAGCTGCCGTGGACCGCTACGACGTGGTCTCCGATGCCGGCATGCTGCTCGTGACAGGGGGCAAGCTGACGGAGGCGGCGATGTGGCTCCCCAGCCCAGACCGTGGGGCTGCCTTGCGCCGTTATTGGCAGCGCGTGGCGCTAGACCGTGATGCCGCTGCCGGTGCCGAGGCCGCTGGGCGGCATGGCCGCACGGCGGAAGTGGGCAAGCCCCTCCCCCCCAGCGTCCCCTGTCGGGGCCCAGGGGAGGCGGCGAGGCAGCCTACGGGCCCCACCCCGCTTCCAGCTGCGAGAGCGGAGATGGACACGCCCCTCCCCCCCAGCGTCCCTTCTCGGGGCCAGGGGGAGGCGGCGCGGCTGCCTACGTGCACTACCCCGCTACCAGCTGTGAGGTCGTCACCGGCCGAGGTGCGCGAGGAAGGCGCGAGGAACTGGGACCCAGCCGGCCTCATGGCGGATGGCAGTACGGAACACCTCGCGAGCCGCCGACGCTGCCGTCGCACGGCCGTGGTTCCATGCTCGCGTCCATGAAGGAGTACGTCAATCCCGCGACCACCGCTGCGCTGCAGGCTATATGTCCCGCGCGCCCTGGACCCTGGAGGCATGCTGGATGCGAATTCTGGTTCACGGCGCGTTCTGCGAGCTGTCCCAGAAGCAGTCCGTGGACGTCCCCGTGGCGGCCGGCGATTCAGGTTTCAGCGTACTGATGCCGAGCCACGCCGACTCTAAGCTGCAGCTGGTCGCCGGAACACCCCCTGGCCGCCTTGCCATGATGGCGATCGCTGACATGTTCTTCCCGCGCGGTCTGCCAGGCTCTCTGAGGCGCCTCCTGAGATAATCGTGCTGCTGCGTATCTCTATGTGCGCTGCGAGTGTGCGAAGATGCCTCAGTTTGCACTGATTCCGCGTGGCTATCGCGGCCATACTTCGTCGCTGAGCTTCATGACATGTAATTACACACTTGCTGTTTATGTTTGTAGGACGGAGGATCAGGAGGGGAGGATCGGAGGGGAGGATCAGGAGTGCCGGAGGATGTAAGCCTGCGTACCAGTTTCACTCCTTCGTGCTCTGTTATCACGATCATCCTCCTCGCCTCGCCTGCTTCCTCCGCGCCTCGCCAACCGCCAGCGAGAGTTTGAGATGGAGTAGCAGCGCGGGTGGCTGCTGAGAGAGAGCCCCCCTCTCAAACCTCCGTTTTGGCGCGTTGATAACCGCGTGCTGTCTGCCGCCCCGGTCAACGTCGCGAGGGTGCGAAGATTTCTCCTCCTCTTGCTCAGGTACGTAGTCCGACGCGGCTGCATTTATCTCGGCCCAGTTCTCCGTGTGGTAATTCCCGCTGTGGTGCTCCACGCGGCCTATGTCTCGCGCTTACGAGAATAGGAGGTGATCGGTCTGAGTGCCAGCCTTTTCCCTCTCTCTCGTCATCATGTTCCCCCCCCCGCACGTGCCTGCTCCTCCCCCTCCGCAGGCATTCAGTTACGATGATGTGCTTGTCAATGCGCGCCTGGCCCAGCTTGGCCAATACTTGCACATGCGGAGACTGGCTGGGAGGATGGTAGGAGGTCGGGGGTTGCAGGGTAGTTGGACGTCGCCTAACCTTTTGTCGTGCCAATTCTGCCCTCCCGCGCCATCCCTCGGACTAGCGTGGCGATAACTGTTCGGTTTTCCGCCGCCGTCTCGACTTACGTTTCCGGGCGTCAGGGCGCGAAGATGTTTTTCCTTCCCCTCTCGGGAAGACGATATGTTGTTGTACGTTCCTTGTGCGCCACCGCCTTATAGGAGCTCAGTCGTGTCGGAGTGGTCAGGCAGACTGCTCGCGACTCTCCCCCTCGGTCTGCCCTCCAACCGAGCTGGAAATTTTGGAAATGCGTCCCAATCTTATTCTCTCCTCTCGGATATGATCACGCCTCCCCTCGGTCTTGCCCCTTATCCCTTCTGGCGCAGAATGAAAGCTACGTCGAGCTGACCATTTGTCGTGCCAGCCCCGTGCAGTTCCGTCCAATCTGGGGGTATGTGGGGACAGGACGGGGGCGGGGAGATTCACCAAACGTTGGCGCCCGTGCTGCTAGATACCGCGTGTTTCTTCCAGCAGCTAGTGAGTGCCGCACCAATCTGACCGTCTCCTGGTCGAATCAGAGCGCAATCCAAAAAATCCTCCCTTCTCCCTCGCCCCTTGTTCCTCATCCCTCGTCCCTCGTCCGTCGTCCTCGTCCTCGTCCTCGTCCTCGTCCTCGTCCTCGTCCTCCACCTCCTCCTCCTCCTCCTCCCCCTGCGTTTCATCTTCTTCCCCACAACAATAATACTAATACTACACACGCAAATGCTAGTACTGACGGTAGTACAAGTACACATACTACTATAACTCATAATTGAGCTACTAGTAAAAATAGTCATCATACTACTACGGCTACGACTACGAGTAGGGCTACGGCGACGGCTACGGCTACGGCTACTACGCGTACTAGTACTACTATTACTACTACTACTACTACGACGACTACTACTACTACTACTACTACTACTACTAAACTACTACTACTACTACTACGACTACTACTACTACTACTACTTCTACTACCTCTACTACTATTTCTACTACTATTTCTACTACTATTTCTACTACTACTGCTACTACTACCACTACTACTACTACTACTACTACTATTACTACTACTACTACTACTACTACTACTACTACTACTACTACTACTATTTCTACTACCTCTACTACTATTTCTACTACTATTTCTACTACTATTTCTAATACTACTACTACTACTACTACTACTACTACTATTACAACTACGACTACGACTACTACTACTACTACTACTACTACTACTACTACTACTACTTTTACGACTACGACTACGACTACTACGACGACTACTGACCTACTACTAACTACTACTAAACTACCTATACTACTAGTACTACTACTACCTACTTACGTACTACTACTCTACTACTACTACTAACGACTAGACTACTACTAGTATCTTACTACTACTACTACTACTAACTACTACTACTACTACTAATACTACTACTACTATTGGTATTACTAACTACTAACTCCTTTCTAACTACTATACTACTACTACTACTAAGTATCTTACTAGCTAACGCAACTAGTAACTATTACTAGTCCTAGTATGTAGTAAAGGTAGTAGTATATTAGTAGTTAGTAGTACTACACTAGTAACTACTACTACTACTACTAATTCCTACTACTACCTACTAACTGCTAATAGCTAACTACTACTAGCGACTGCTACGACTAATACGACTGCTACTACTACTACTACTACTACTAAATACTACTGCTACTACTTACTCAGCTACTACTACTACTACTACTACTACTTCTACCTACTACCTACTACCTACTACCTACTACCTACTACCTACTACCTACTAATACTACTACTACTACTACTACTACTACTACTACTACTACTACTACTACTACTACTACTACTACTACTACTAGTACTACTACTACTACTACTACTACTACTGTTGCTGCTGCTGCTGCTGCTGCTGCTGCTGATGCTGCTGCTGCTGCTACTACTACTACTACTACTACTACTACTACTACTACTACTACTACTACTACTACTACTACTACTAGTAGTAGTACTGGTACTACTAGTACTACTA